AGTTACCTGCTGTAGCTCACTGTTAAATGAAAGAAAACCTGAAAGTTTTAAAAACCAAAACCAATTCTTCTTATGATGGCACTAGTAATTTAGGTGTAAATATTTTTACACATGGCTGCTTAATCCTTATGGACTTCTAGGGGCTCAAGAGACTATTCTGGCTACATATGATTGTCAGTTGAGAAAATATCTCAAATGTTTATGTCTATATCTTTTCTCCATAACAGTCAATAACTTTTATTCGACATTTTGGTAGCTTCTTTAGGCAGAATTTCTTTCTTTCCACCRACACAATGCAATTATCTTTTATTACCATTTCTTACTGGTCTACGATCAGTGATTACCTAGATCCAGTTGGCAGTTCTGTCTACCAGTTCTCATACTCTTTCCTGTGAAGTACATTTCACAAGATCAGCAGAGGAATAGGTAATGATAACCATGTGCAATGTCAGCTTTTGGAAAGGGAGCCTTGGAGAGCTCTTGCTCAGAGGGAGACATGCAAAATGCCAAATGCTAGTTGATTGCTCCACAGGCTACATGACTCCTTGTTTACTCATTCTCACCCATCTGTAGACCAACGACCAACAAATGCCCCAAGTATTCTAGGCATTCAGTGTGGGATTTGGTGCAAACTGCATCCCCAGTAGAGCTCAAAGGTGCTCTCATACTAAGACTCCTGATGACTTCCACAAAAACAAATTAATCATTACATTTTTGTATTCCARCTATGAGAACAAATCCTTCTTTGCTTAGCCTTTGGATCGGCAGTGTTACTCATGAGCTTCAGTGTTACCAAGTTTGCAATGTACCCTTTTCTTGAAAACTTACTAAAATACTTCCTTGGATCATCAGGGACCTTATACATGTAAGCTGTAGAGTTTGCTGAGGCAGAGACAGTGAGGGAGAGATGCAGACATTTGTGGTWAGAGCTTTTGGAGTGCCCTTGAATACTGGGCAGGCGGAACTGCTGAAACCAGAGTGCTTTGCTGAAGATGGCATTGAACTTCACCAACCCTCAAAAGGCGCTTATTAATAGGGAGAAAATTCTATGATTTTTTGGTTGAAATGCGATAGTAATGAAGCTGTGAGATTGGACAGAGACTACTTCATTTAACATCACAAACTATGCTAGCTACAAAAATAGTGTTTCTGTTCATTTCCTTGTGTACAGCAAATCCTTTACACTGCGTTCTACCACATCCTAATATTGTGTGTCACTAKTAATGACAAATGACAACTAAGTTGGTGGCCATTTCATGCGCTGCTTGTTGCAGAAATGCCTAGACCTCAACAAAAATGCCTACTTTACAACTGAAGGAAGTCTGATGAGAAAGAGAACACTGTAAGACCACAGAAAATCCTATAAAGGGTGGGCACATAGTCCTCAGATTAAAAAGGGGTCACTCATCKCTATCTGTATCTTGATCTCAGCACACTGACGAATTTTTAAACCGGACAGGTCTGTCCTGGAGCACCCACTTTCCAACCTGTTTTTCCGTACAGTAGGTCACTGTCCCAGTTCACAGAGATGGTATTCACAGCAGAAAGAGCTCAGACACTGGTGTGGGGATTGAATCTTAACAAATTAACAGCAACAGAAGGCATGTGACTAGACTCTACAGAACAGATCCAGGCTACGTTGCAGTCAGTGAAAAGTTTTCCTGATTTGGATCTGAGTTAGACATATTTATAAAAAACATGGAGGGGGTGAACAAGGAAGGAAAGCTAAACGCTGATTCTGGAAAGGTGTTATGGCTCGTGGGCAGTTCTCTGAGTTTGCTGAGTCAATAAAATCATTAATCCTTTTCTGTGAGAAATGTACATAAATACACACTTCTTCAGCAGGTGTAGAATTCCATCCTCACACAGGAGTTTGATGCAAATTGTTGCGGGACACGCAACAGACTAACATGTCACTCCTGTCCAAACACAAACATACCTAGAGAAATCCTTCTTTTTCCCCTCTTATCTCTSTCCATCTGTGTTTCTGAATGATTTTTCTATTTTAGTTTGATCTCTCTCCATTGCAATTTGCTACCTTGCACTACCCAGACAGAACAAGTATAAATGTTAACAATAAAATTCATTGGGAATGAAAAAAATTAAGGAGGTTGAGTGGGAGTCAAATTATTTTTCATTTATCCAATTGTCCTATTGTCTGTTTCCACCACTGCTGAAAACCCACAACACCCTGAGAATATCTAATGTAATAAGAAATTGCTATGGCAATACCACAGTATATTCTCTCAGGTGACAAGAGGGTAATGATATCCTATGTTAAACAGACCACATTCTACTACTTGATCTCACCACGACTGGGGTAATATATGGTTGTCACTCTATAGGCTGCTGTGAAGCACGACCTAATTTGTGCTGGGGCAAGCAAGGCAATATTCTGGTTTCATATGAAAACCTTTAGTATCAGGACTYGGGGAAAATACATGTATTTACCATTCTTATAGGCTTTACAAGTGGTATTTGGAGTACAATAAAAAATGGAAAAGCTAAAAGCAAGGAAACATCAACTCTAGTAATGATAGCCTTGTCTCTGTACACAGGACCAGAGCTCAAGGGGGAGAAGGGCGTCTGGAGGATGGCGGCTCTAAGAAAGCCTTAGGCACACTCATAAACCCCTGAACTGGAATTCCCAGTATATTGACTCATAATATCTCTGTTTGGCATTGCTGTTCCTGCAGACTGTGATCCATCCTGACATCCAAATTTCACAGCTGCTGTTAAAAAATTAGAGGAGAGCATTGAAGTGATTAAAGGATGGAAAATCTTACAGTGAAACAGGTTGAGATCCTTCACTGTACTGTAAGTTTCTCCATGAAAAGGAGAAACTTACACTGTACTGTAAGTTTCTCCATGAAAAGTCTGAGCCTTTGGAGCTCAGACTACCACAATTATCAGACACTAAGCTAAGAAAGGATTTGTCCCCAGCTAACTACACAAGCAACAGAAATTTACTTCCCAGGGGAACTTTGCAATAACCATCAAGGGACAACAAAAACAGTTGGCTAAATGTTAAAGCAAGACCATGTCAGACTGAAAATGAGAGAAAATATTTTTAGAAGAATGGTATTTAATTGCTGGGACACTTTGAAAAGTTCTGGGGAATTTCCCATCACTGGATKTCAACATTTTTTTTTTCAAGATTGGAAGTTTTCTAAAAGATATGCTCTACTTCAAGKCACGTAATTATCTTTGAAAAATTCTGGCAATACCTATGTTGTTTTTGCAACAATCATTGGTTTTGAAAATTGTAAGGGGAAGGAATTAAACTGTCATTGTGATATTTATAAATGAAACACTTTAATCCTGTTGTTTTTCTAGTTTTAATTGCAACCTTTTTCTTTAGTTTCTGCATTTGCATTAAATATAAAACTGCTATATTTTTCAGCTCTAATATTTTCTACAGTACAAAACAGATGTCAGAAAACTGGCTTAAACTGCACCCTGAAAATTTGCTATCAAGGCATAATTTAAAGGAGCGTGTTTTTTTATTTTACTCAAGTTTTCAAAAATCTCAGAAAATACTGGTGCAAATTAGATCTGTTTAACACAGTGTCATGTGAGACAAGTACAAATAAAATCACCAAATGAAAATTCTACCTCAAGGTACAGTTCTGTCATTATGAGCTTGTTTAATTCTAAGAATTGTTTATTTCTACAAAATGGGAAAGATAGGAAAGAAAGGATAATTGGATGGCTGGCACTTTAGAAGCAAACATGACATATATCTTTAGATGAAGTAATCAAAAAGCATTTCTGATGTAATTCAATAACTCTATAACAATATACACAAAAGTATGTGCCTAAAATGTTTCATGTGTTGAAATGCAAACATTTTTCACTAAGCCCATTGCACATATTTTACAAAATCAACACAGATTTGGAGCAACTTTTTCTTTACATTCTCTTCTACAACTACTTAAACAACTGTGTCTATACCTTAAGGGGCCAGTTCTGGTTCTATTAAAATAAAATTACCATTGGAACAGAAACAAATTAAACAAAGACTGCGGGCCTCACACTGTATTTACCTACCCAGTGCCTGAGCTGGGTTCTGTGCAGTGTTTTTGCTTAGACAGGACTAAGATCAGCAGAACCTTCTTCACCACACAACTGCCAAGAAATTGCCTTGAGGCTGAAACCAAGCCATAATACAAATGTACTTTAGGATTTTTTGTTACGAGCATAATCTCCATCAATATCCTCATCACTAAAAGGAGCAGAAACACTGTTGCGGTGGAGTGTCTCCCGGTTCTGCGRCAYAAGCACTCTCAATARCAWTGAGAAAGTCCACTTTTTTGCCCCKTGTCTTACTGAACAGATGACAACTCTCTTGACAAAAGTAGCAGATTTACGATTCAGAATATTATGAGCTACATCATAACAGAAAAGATTCTCAGGTTCTGGCCCCACTCAAACATAAACATAACAGAAGTATTTAAATAGAAGATATAAGTTCAAACCAGGAAAAGCAGAAATTTTGATTGTAACATTAAAAAGCTTTTTGATTAAATTAGTTTAGCTGCTGTTCCAAAGTGGAAAGGGAGAGCCTTGGTATGGTGGCCAGGAGTCCAGCAGACAATTAGTCATTATTATTATTATTATTTATTATTATTATTATTATTGTTGTTGTTGTTGTTGTTGTTGTTGTTATTTATTTTCACTGGTGTTATTTTAAAAGAATTGCATTTAAGAAAAGAAAGAAATAAATACTCCAAACACCTTACCTCATTTAGCTGCAGATTCTGGAGTGGAAATCCTGAACTGAGGCAATGGGAAAACTGTCTACAGAACAGTAGGTTGGGTAAGCACAGGTACTAGGTTATGTCAACTAAAGACTCCCAGGAGTGAAGATAAATGGATGTGATACTAATTTTAAAACATTTTGCTGAACACTGAAGCAGCCAATAGGGGAATTCCTTAGGTCACTTCCTGTTCGTTTGATTGGATCTGCAACGACAACAACCAAGATGAGGTTGAGAGCGTTTGCATAAGGCCAGCTCAGTCCTCGGCATTCAAAGAGAACAGGTCTAACCGGGTTACACGCGTGGCTCCAGAACAAAAGAAAAACCTGGTAATGGATGAGGGATTGATTTCTTTGTAGTTGTTTTTTTAAGACCATCCCTTCTTTTTTATTTTATTTTTTTTTATATGGAGGTTATTGCAGGTAGATAGGGAGATCATAATTAGAATGAGGAGAAGTGAAAAGCAGGAGTGTCAATTAATCTGGGAATAACGTTAGGAGGTGCATCACATAGAATAACCCTGTGCTGGCAGGGAGGTGGACTGGGTGAGCCCATGTGATGGGTTCARTCCTTTCTTTTATACATTGAAAATCCCGAAAAATGTGTGAAAGGGAAGYCTTACAGCTTCTCTGGGTATTTGGGAGAAGGTAAGAAGCAAGGAAAAAATCATCAGTGTGGGTGCATGTGGGTTGAGTATGAAAGTTCAGCTACATGCAGGTTAGCAGGGCAGACAATCAGTAGACRCACTGAGTCCAAAGTTTTCCTTGACCATGTGGGAGTTATCCCTCCAGCCTGCAACGATGAACTTGGGCAGGAAACCAGGTACCTAAGTGAAATTATGAAGCCTCACCTGTTTCTCATTATTTCTCTAGTCAGAAAAGGCACCAACATGGAAACAGTTAAAAATGCAGTAATGTGGGAAGGTTCTGAGGTTTCATTAATTTGTATGCATAAAACAAGAAATGCTAAATATTATTATTCAGTGACTGTTCAGTGGTGTGTGTGAAGTGAATTTTCTAGTCTTTGCTCATTTTTGGTCTCAAGTCTCATCATAAATCTTCCCCCTGACAGATGCTGACAAGTGTTCTCAGTGCTAGATTTACCAAGCACAGGGAATGAATTGTCCTTCAGCATCCAGAGATACTATTAATTATTAATCAAGGCTCATTGTCAAGGTAGGGGAAATATTTCACAAATATTCTTTATGCTGAACTTGATTTCAAGATAAATAATGGATCTCAGACTCAAGGAATGTCACCTTTGTTCCCATCATCCACACTAACACCAATTAAAATCTAAGTTTCTTTTGTTCACATAGATAAGGTGCACCTGTGTACAAGTGTTGCTTGGGAAGATTCAATCATTCTTCATCCAGGTTAAGGCCAAGTACAAGTTCCATGGCTTCTGACGTTGATTCTCACCTATCAAAGAAAGCTGTCCTTGAGGCASAAGGAAGACGGTAAATATCCATCTTGGAGAGCTCTACTGTCTTGTAGTTACAACACTAAGGGTTAAGGTTGTCCCTGCAGACAGCTAGGCAGGTATTTTGATAAGCAGGTCTAGCACTTAGGTGATTTTTCTAAGCATTCATGTCACTGAGTCCAAGTATTTGCATACCAGTTCATGTCTTGGTGAGTATTTAAAGCTTTCATCATCAAAATAATGCCTTAGCATAATATCAGCTTGAACAATCAGTCCAGAGCAGGAAAAGCTAAGAAGTGAGCAAAGAACTGGCAAGCAGTAAAGAGAACTTCCCTTCCCAGGAAGGATACCTTTAGCAAGAAATGCATCTTCTATTATCCCACTGAGCAAAATGTGGGAGATTAAAGAATCACACTGAAATACATCTGTTCCATATGCTGCAGAAGCACCACAGGAGGATCCACTGCATCTCAACACAGACAGGGAAATCAGAATTTTCCTGTTGMTAAAAAGAACATCAGCAAAAGCAGACAAAAAGTGGTTCCTATATGGTACAGAGACTGGAATGTGACTTTCTGTTTGTGTGACTGTTGGCTTTTTCTGTTTCAACTCCTAAGGGCAGAGACAGCTCTAGTTGCTAAGACACAGGATACTTCCAGRCAGACCAAAAAGCACATGGTACCAACAGGTCTGGACAAGGTGAAGCTAGCTTGGTTGGCGCACCAGCATGCATTATTTATTACTGTGCTATTTTCAAAGGCAGGGTGCCACACAGGGTGGTGGCTCCCTAAATTTGCTGCCCTGCCTGGCCAACTATGCTGCCCCCATGCTCCCAAGTATGCTTATTGACACTTACATGTGGTTCAGCACTGAGAGGATTACGGGTGGCTTTCAGAGACAGTCAGACCTTTYCCTCTGCATGTCCTTCTTTAGCATTGCGGCCACAAAATTAACATGAAGTTGGTCCTCACASAATTCTAGGTGGCAAACATTAAAAACTTCATAACTAGGAACTTGGAGGCCACAATCACAGTATGGCAGAAATGCCAGTGCAGATTTCCAGAATTAATTTAATTATAGGCATCAAGCATCAAGGAAATTACCTAAATCTGTCTAGATTCTTAAATTGGCGTCTCTTGCTATAATGTCTGACACCTGATGAAAACAGAGAACAAATGTATGGTAATTTCTACTTTTTCATTAATATTAATCTCTGCTTCATTTGTTAAATTCCAGTGGAATATCAAAAGGTGGGTATAATGCTGATATGTAGGTTGGACATGCCAAGCAATTTGAGAATACAAAGTATGAGATTCCTGCCTTCATTCTGCTGCAGCAAAATCAGAAGTGATTCATAAACTTTGATGTAAAATMATACACTTTCTGTAAAAACATCACTAGAGAAGCCAGAAGAAATAGGACAGATGCTATTTCCAAGTTGAGTTTTATGTTATAAACAAATGCCACCTAATACTAAAGTTGCCCATTACTTAGGCGTGCAAGACCTTGTAATTTTTTCTTCAAAATTTGTTGAATTTTAGCCTTTAGCTCTTTGGCTAAATTGAAATTTTTCRTCATGGACATTGGCTGTGCAGCAAAATTTTGAATAATTGTCATCCATAATARTATATGTTTTTCTGACTAATTAAAAAAWRCTAAAGAAAGTGCTCTACTTTGTAYTTATAGRAAGAAATATTGCTGCCTTTTCTTTGGAAAGCTCAGGAACATTTATGTTTCAAGCAAGGACTGATTACAACAGGCTGTCAAATTAAGGGTGTACTATCTACCAYTCCTAATAAAATCCAACTGAAATTAGCTTGTTTAAAGCTTATTGACARATCAMAAAATCACAAAATRGGCACRGTTGGAAGGGGCCACAGTGGGTCATCCTAGAGCACATGGCACAGGATTGCATCTAGATAGATCCTGAATATCTCCAGTGATGGGGAATCCACAGCCTCTCTGGGCAGTCTGTTCCAATGCACTGTCACCCCTACAGTAAAGAAGTTTTTCCTCATGTTCAGGTGGAACTTCTGTGCATCAGTTTCTGCCCATTGCCTATTGTCCTGCTGCTTGGCACCACTGAGAAAGGCCTGGCTCCATCCTGTGACACCCTCCTGTCACACACTTACAGACACTGATAAGGTCCCCTCTCGTTCATCTCTTCTTAAGGCTGAACAGGCTGAACCATCGCAGCCTTTTCTGATTACAGAGAKGGTGCCCTCTCCCAGTCATCTTCATTGTCCTTTACTGCATCCACTCCAGCAGCTCCAAGTCTCCCTTGTCYTGAGGAGCCCAGAACTGGACACAGCCCTGCAGATGTGCCTCACCAGGGCTGAGCAGAGGGAAAGGATCACCTCCCTTGACCTGCTGGCAATGCTTCTCCTAATGCACCCCAGSAAACCACTGGCCTTCCTGTCCACTGCTGGTCATGGACAGCTCACTGTCCACCAGGATCCCCATCCTTCTCCACAAAGCTGCTTCCCAGMAGATCAGCCTGTCCTGGTGTGTGGGGTTATTCCTCCCCARKTGCAGGACCCTGCATTTGCCTTTGTTGAATTTCAGAAGGTCCCTCTCTGCCCRTCTCTCYAGCMTGTCRAGGCCCTTCTGAAGGKCTGCACAGCCCTCTGGGCGATCAGCCACTGCTCCCAGCTTTGTGTCAGCAGGGAACTTGCTGAGGAGGCATCTGCCCCTTCCTGCAACTCACTRATGAATTAGTTAAACAAGGCTGGGCCCAGWATTGAACCCTGGGGGACACCTCTGATGACAGACCTTCAACTCAGTCCTGTGCCACTGATCATGACCCCCTGGGATCTTCCACCCTGACAGTTTCCAGTCCACCTCCCTGTCTRCTCAGACAGTCCATGCTTCCTGAGTTTCCCTGGGAGGATATTTTGAGAGAAAGTGCTGAAGTYTTGCTGAAGTCCAACGAGACAACATCCACTGCTCTCCCCTCACATCATAATCCACGTAGTGGATTCATGAGGGAGAGCCTCATTCTGTCATCTTTCTTTTGCAGCAAATGTTCTCTACTTCCTGGCTTCMCAAGTCTTTCCTAGCAACTAACAAAGGCTATTCCTGTACATCCTCCAACTCAAAAAAGCAAATTTTCCAATGACTCCTCCATTTGGTCCAGCAGCTACTCTCAGTACAACTGGCAGAGTCTGTAGAGGGAAACTGCAGGGTTTGTTCATGGGATTAACCCACAGGATACTCAACGCTGAAACCGCCGTCTCTGCACACCACTTATTCAAAATMCAGAAACTGCATGCAGGGAACAGAGCTAAAAGATCATTATTAACATTGTCATGGGTTAGGAGTTAGAGTACTTAGGGTGAGGGGTACTCATTCAAAGAGAAGCTACCCAATACTATGCATACAGGGAGTGGCCCTGAGCTGAATTTGCTGCACATGAATCAAACTTGCGCTGAAAGCTTCTGTTCATTTCCTCATGAGTTTTTGTATGCTGTTCATCTTCATGGTATTTTAGGTATTATAGTTACACATGTATTTATAATGTAAATAAACATTTAATATATGTAGATTAGTGTATTGCATTATATTAACGAATTAACGCTGAAATTACAGTATTAACACAAAAACATTTATTGATCTTTATGCATCCCTAGTGAGGTGAGAAAGTAATAATTTATTGTCCCTATTGTAATGGGGAACCCTAAAAAGATCAAGACAAAGGTGTTCATTAATTCAGGGTATCCATTTGGAGTTGCCTGAGCACCATGTACTTAAAGCACTTAGTATTCTATACTTATGTAAAGAATTGAAAGCACAGCTACCAGGCATTCTCATTTCAGGTCTTAGCACTTAGCAGGGCATAGTCCATTATAGTTCTGCTGATCACTGGATAAATTACAAGTAAGGAAAGCAATGATGAGGAGCTTGACAGTGGTCACAGAAGGATTTGAGCTTTGCAGACAATTCTGTGAAAATTCAAATTTTAAACCAATACAGCTACATGTTTTAGCATTTCTACAGCTTCTTCACACACACAACAATCATCAAACAGATCCCAACTTTCTGTAAATTTGATCTGAGAAAGTGAAAATAATTGAGTAACAAAGTTCCTTGGTTCAGTAGGGTCTCCCCAGGAGAAGGACGTATCCTGAAAATCCAGRTGTGCTTCAAAAGGGGTACTGGATAATCCAATGAATAAGGGGATAAAAGCAGAACCCCTTAAATCCCATTCCCAGAAAACCATCTGCCAACCAGAAAATACCATTTAAGCACCACCTCTGTTCCTGGAGAAGAGCACCCCCCTCTACCTTGACCTGTCAGGTCCCCTTGCCACATTTTAGATCAAGAGGTGGATTTTTTTCTTGAAAACATCACAGCCATTTCTCTCATCATCTTAGTCTAAAAGTACAGAAAAGGCAAAATCAAGTGTGAATATCTCAGTTTAAGGACTTGCAGGAAAAAAAATTGTGTAAGAAACTTTGCAAGGATYATTGTAAAGTTGTCCATGCTCTGAGAGACTGATTCATAGGAAAAAAACATAGACATCTGCACTGAGAAATAGAAGAGGGATAGGGTAGAAAGAAGAAAAAAAATAAAARACRTATCAAATTTTCCATGGAAAAGATAAGGGTAATAAATGGCTAGAATGAACTTGCAGGGCAAACACAAATTGCTTACACAAACACTGAAAGAAAGAAATGCAAATCCTAGAGATAATACAGGTTTATAATTAATTATTTATTTGGTTTAGTCTCCTCAGTGAGCAGGTCAAACCAACGCACTGTAACATTGTTGCACAAACTGTTGGGAATAAACTTGTATGAGAAATAGGGGGAGAAAGATTAATACTAATAAATAATGGCTGTGGCAAATAAAAAGATATGTGGCAATGAAGAGGCCACTAAATCCAGGGCACCACCAGTTATATCTTGCTTCTGATTTGAAGGAAAAAATATTGAAAAGTTTGTGAGGAGGCAACACTATCAATTGGTAAGAAAGTATTTATAAGACTATCTTTTGCCCATATGAGCTGACTTCATTCCACGGATTTCTGTAAGGCTTTGCCAGTGTGTATCTACTAGTATTTTTAATATAGCTGTGTATATTGCCTTTTCAGGACTCAAAAAAATTTAATTTATTATGAGGCAATACTGACTGTGCAATGATGTCTCAGTGGAAAACTTCATAACTATGCAATAGAGGGTGTTAAACAACAAGCAGGGCAAAATGACCTAATGGGTCTTGTGTATCTGTTGTGGTTTGAATCTCTTAGGAAACACTTTGATGCTGCCAGAACCAAAGCAAAATTATTAGAACATAAAGAAGGCAAACACAAAGTAATGCACAGAGATTAAAAAATAAAAGGAGCACAGATATTGYGAGATAAACTTTAGTAGGGGTCAAATACTTCTACTGTTACATTCATAAGCCAGGACATGATAAAACCAGAAGGGACCATGAGAGGCACCATTCCTGGGTGTTGCACCTCACTCCCAAAATTTGGTGAATATAGAAACAGGTTTCTGCTAGGACCATAGAGACAGGAATTGGAGCACAGCTATAGAACCTAGAAGAGATCTTGTGTCATGTGGATGCCTTGTCCTTAAAGTACAAATGTGAGAAAAGTGGGGGTAAATGCTGTAAGTTGGCTGGACAGGAGTTCAAGTCCATTCCCGCACTTAGATCCTTACCAGTGACTGTATTTCACTATTGCATTTGATACACAGAATATATCAAACATTGTAAGAAGTCTGCAAGTGGGTAAATGGCTCCCAGCTACAGAGGGCTGATTSTTACGGTGCAGTGTGCTTTACCAAATTAAACTTATCCCAGTTCAAGGGTGTTGGTTTCCCTAAAAACCTTATGGAGACTTTTTAAATCTAATGTTTTGAACATTCCCAAAATTAAAAACTGTTCAGCAAAGAGAATTTGTGTTTAGCTCATCTCTACAAGAGACCTACAAGGAGATAATTTCTCTTATGTGCWGGGGAAGCAGAAAATTAAAAATAAGGACAAGATGCTAAAACAGCAGATCAAGGGGCCAATAAAATGGGATTGAAAAGGAATGGCAGGGCCAGTTTMATCAAAAAATGGAAATTGTTCACACTGTAATCACCTACTTTCAAGGCAGTCACCCTTTACAAAAGTCCACTGCAAAATTGGTATAGCATGGGAAAATGAAAAAGAGATGAAAAGTCAAGGGCAACTCTAGACACAAATACCCACATCCAGATTTAGATGAAAARTAATTTAAGGGCACGATGGCACAACACATCCTAACTGAGAATACAGAGACAGACAAATTGAGGTGCAGAGAATCTGACTGATAGATTATGGATTTGATTCATTATGAGGGAACTATGGTAGCAGTGCTACTCCCCTGSATTGCTCAAATAGGAATATGTGCAACAAAGATCCATGACAGCATGAATATGTGTGTCCCCAGGACCTTCAGTGTGAGTTTCTCACTCTTCATGACATTGAAGAGCAGGATTTCATGCATGTCTGTGTGTGTGAATATTGCATGACTGAATGACTGAGGAGAGGGTARACTGAGAAACTTTCATGCACATTTCTGTCTTTGTGCATGAATGTGAGCCAAGTGATTTCAAAGGGGTACATTCATGCATTTGGGAAAGGATATTAAAGAAGACTCCAAGATTTCAGCATTTAGAGTCAGGGAATWGATATATCTGCCATAAGGAAAAGTTGGAATAGCTTCACAGAAATGAATGAGGAGGGGTCTAAGAACTATATAGGTGCAAAGGACAATAAAAACCCAAMCCTTCATGGTTTGAGTTAGCCTTARGAATCGTACCAGAACAGATCTTTTGAGGACATCTCAAAGCAAGCAGCTACCTGCAAGGCAGAGATGTGAACAATTCATAGGCTAACTTCCAATCTTSGTGATGATGAGAGGATTTCCTTTGCCAGCATCTGAGCAGGGGAGTGAGGGTTAACCCTTGAACACAGCTATAGCAGGCAAATCTTCTGAAACCAGTTTATCCCAGTTCCAGTAACTACACAATGTTCAGTGCCTGTGAGATGCAAATATCAAGTTTATGATTAACTGTGTTAAAATTCCATGGAACTGCAAGTACTTTTATTTGTTTGTATAAAGAAATTGAAACAATGCACCCTTTCCTTTCTATGCTTTCACTTTGCTAGCATTTAAAAGAAAATCTTGCCCTAGATGTGTGCACTAAATCCTTACCTGTCCCAAGAGTTTCCTTCACATCCTTTAGCTGGAAAATGAGCTTGTGACTGAGGGAAATATCATTCTAAACAAGATGGGGGATAGAATAAGCAAATGTTTAACACTGACCTCATTGGAAGTCAGCTGGTTCCCACTACAAAACTTTCACCGTGGGGCAGAGACTTTTGCTAAGCAGGAAAGAAAAAGGACATCTGAGCCATGGGTTATTCTTCTGGCAAATATTCAGCTATTTGTCTCTYGAGGTGTCTCTAGTCCTGATGCTACCCTGCCTGAAATAATGTAACACTGTAAAGGTGAATACATTCCTGCTCGTGAGACWTTCCAAGTTTCAGTGGATATGTGTGGAGATGAATACAGTTTGTTAGGGATGCCATAAAGAAGATCTTGGATATACCAGACTATGTACCAGACTATTGTACTAGCATTAATCATGCTAATTAAACTCGAGGGGCATAGAAGTTCAGCCACTGTCCTTAGAGGTCTCTGCTGCATTAGTATTTGAGGTGGGCTGTTCTTGTCTGATAGCCATAATATTTTCTAGATGCCTTTTACTCAGCAAAGATTTCATGTCTCTAAGCCTTATATGTGGCAGGTTGTTCCCAAATTCAAGCACATGTACATCACTTTTTCAAGAACAGGGGAGCAGTGTAGTTCAGCTCTGTGGGTGTTTGTGCTGTGGAGCTTCATMTCCCTATTACAAACCAGGTTATTGAATCTGGAAGGTGACCATGTGAACAGGCACTGCAGTGAGGCACACAGACATGAAGCTGGCACCTCATCACCCCTGTACAGGGTTACTATGCAACATTAGTCAGAATTAATGACTTGATTTATTTAGAAAGAAAAACCTTCTTCCAAGTTTCTCCCATGCCCTTTCTGAAAAGGCTTTTAGCAGCTGGCATGGTGCATCTGTGGGAGGAAAGAATGAGAAGAATTGTAGTGACTTTACTAGGATTTATTCTGTGGCTTGTAAACTGGGCTCAGTGACCCACAGCAAAACAGCCCTGAATTTCAAAGGAGTGAGTCTCTCCTTGAACCGCTCCCTAAGACAGCAAAAGCCTTGGAGCTGGAATTGTGATCTCCAGGAAACTTCATCACTGGTCTCATGCCCTGCAGGAGATCCTTCTGCTTACATGCAGACATCTTAACAGGCAGCAATGCCTCTTGCAATCACTCCAGCGGTGAGAATCAGCCCACCACAGGTTAAGGAGACAGGTGGCCTTATCATGCACTTCCACACACAAATAAACACTTCAGAAATGCCTCTCTAGAGCACACCTGAAAGAAACTCCTAAGGAGCTGCCAGATGTGGAGGAAAGAATAGACACAGGCTTTCAGTCAGTTTCTGTACTAGGAGATTGCACCATTGCTACTACAATGGATTGCATATTCTGTCCTTACTGCCATGTACATAATTTAGTTAATGGTCTGGATGGTCTAATCTAAATGGGGGACCGGCACGAGATYCGTAGATCTGACCATTCTTGCATGGGCACAGAATGTGCACAAAAAGCACGTTCTTGGATCACAGCACAGAAAACACAGGAAAATATGTTAGTATGCCCAAAACCTACAAAAGGAGAAATGGACCGGAGAAGAAAAGGAAAGAGGTGGGAAAAGGGGGAAAAAGCCAAGAAGGTGTTTAAAATTCATAGGAAATGAAATTTTCTATAATTTTTTTCTTCACCATACATTTGGTTGTATTTATTYGCTTTTTATATTTATAGATCACCTGCAGTGGTCCTTTCTGACCTTAACCATTCTGTGATTTCATAGAGCAGTTCAAGCTCTCAGGGCCCTCAGAATGTGTGTAGTTTTACTTCCTGTTCAAACTGAAGTCAGCTAAGTGATCAGACCAGGTTGCTACAGGCTTTAGGGCTTTTTTGTCCCTTTAAAGTAGTTTCTTGGTCCAACAAGGGTATTGCATGAATTGAAACTACTGTTATAAGTATCACTGTAATCAGTCTATCATCTAGACTAGTTTTAAATGTTTCTCAGAATGGTACTTGTACCTCTCCCCTTACAGACTCTTCAGAGATAYTACTCATTCTGGCAAGAAGTTTATYGGRCTCAGTTTTGCCCTGATCATGTTGAATCACATACTCCAGTTATAATCTACTGTCATATCCCTCTCATTGTGTGACTGCATCTTCTAAACCRAACCTCATATTTCTTTTCACATCTCAAATAATGCTGAAGGTAGAAGCACCAAGGCACCATGAAATCCACTGTCTGCAAGGATACAAGCTGAAAGAAAGCAGCCACCTGTTCATGTGAAATTCTGTAGAGTAAAAAAAAAAAAAAAAGCAGAAGCAAATTCCTCTGAAAATAATGGTTAATTATATGTGAGTCCAACCATTGTTAAATATTACCTTCAGCCTTTTTCTCCGCACAGCATAGTTGCATAAAACAGATTCCATTCCCAGCACCAGGTCTCMTCCCTGGAAAATCAATGGAAGTCAAGGCAGGTAAGCCAGGATATGTTCATAACATGGATTCATTGAAAGATATAGCAAAAAATAAATTATACTAGAACTTGAAGACATATCAGCAACCTTATTATTTCAAACATTCATCATATTAATACTGTAGCATATGAATTTGATATGAGTTTCTAATGACACAATTCTTCGTGGAATGTGATTTGTATATAGTAATAAGAAATAAGGGATGTGTCATAGAATCCTGGTGTAAAATAATTTGGTATGCAACTTCTAAGTCTGGAACATAATGTTCCTATTTGCTGTCACTGAACTGTCATTATTAAAATAATGAAAAAGATGGGGGAAGAAGGTGGAGAGAGAGACTGGCAATGATCTATTAAGCACCATTTGGTAACTATTTCTGTTCTTTGACATGCAAGTGGAAAACMACAATCTGTGTATAAAATGAAGTCCACATTTTAGAATCACCATTGAAGTCAAATTTCAATCATATAGAATTCAGAATGAATTTTTATTTATAGATATAAATATTATATAAATATAATTTTGACTGAAATTTATCTGAAGAGAAGTGACCATTTGCAATATTTGAAAGTGAACGAAAACTTTAAACTATACCATGTTTTTTGTGTAGAGAGCCAAGAGCTGATAGAGAAAATTATTTGTTGCTCACTTCTAACAGAGTACACTCTTAGTAGTCAGGCTAGCAGATTCCAGAATTCGTTTKCAATGTGTTTTTTAAATGCCCTGGACTCTCAAACCCAGTCATGGGTTTCACCACCTGGTTGCCTGGGAGCAGAGGAAGGAGCCCAAAGAGTGCCCAGAGTGATGCTCTGATGATACTCAGCTCAGCCCTGCGGCTGGCTCAACTCTTAAGTGCTGCATTTACCTATTTAAAATCAGCTCCTCTTTACTAATATCCAGGGTGGCACTGCAAATAGCTACATCACCTGGCATTTTTCAAATTGTTTCAACTGCAAATATTATTGACAAAGGAGTCCCTTGGACAGAGGTATGAAAATAACAAATCTCTTATACGAAAGGACAATAAATCATGACTCAGGTGACTCACTCCCTGCATAGAGGACGGAAAATGAAAGAGTAAACCCTTGAATAAGAACTGACTGAGACCTGAGTGAGACCAGTTACTGAGATAATTAGCTCAGGTCTTTTCATTTATACATTAATGAACCAAAAGATCAAAGACTTTGGCTAGGCCTGTAACCACGACTGCAGCATTGTCTTGCTATGCAATAATGAACTCATTATTAGGTGCTTTCATAAATTACATGTGGTAGACGATTTTATTTTTAATACTGTATATAAAGCACAAAAACAGCTACAATGTTGTTTTAGAAAATTTTAATTGCTAAGCATGCACTTTCATGTAATAAGCACATTCTTACTTTCAGCTGATTGCTGCTACCAGTTTTGTCCTTCACTGGAAATTTCCTGACTGGTGGCAAAGTTTCTCTTATTTTTTGGAAGAAAGGGGAAATAAGTGACTGAATGACCAAAGTGAGCTTGAAGTATATTGTATCAGTTGAGAAAAATCTGTAAAATCTACCTCAAAGGTAGGAAAAATAGATTAACATGCTAAAATTACATAAGACTGAGAAAAGGAGATATTCTAACACTCAACTACACCCCATCTTTTTGTGCCAGCATGTTTCTGCCATTTAACGTATTAGGGACAGATATGTCTGGACCCATGACTGCAGAGTTGATGTTTAGCTTGGGTAATTATGTACGTAAGGATCTGGAGTTGATCTTTGGAAATCTGGAATGTGTTTCTCTTTCTGCTGTAGACTTTCTTTAACACTATAGCCAGGTTATACGATATTTGTCTTTCAGGTCCAGAGTTGTAGAGCACTGAATCATTTTACACAGCTGCTGGGAGAATAAATGTATAAATGCTCACAATCTGTAGTTGAGAAAAGTTTACAAACATGCATCTGAATCAAACTTCCAGATAAAATCGCAGCAGTTCATGAAGGAAGTTGTTGACTGTTACTGTTGGCAGTAAGACKTGATATGGAGAAAAGCTTTGTCACAAATGGACAAGTTATTATTATGTGGGCATGTTAGTATATGYTCTCCTTTAAAACGGCATAAGAAAGAAAGGTATTTTATCTGTTGGCAAAGTTTCTGATGCRAAAATGTATTTATTTACAACCCACTGAGAAGATCTGACACTGCTGGGGAGAAGTTTAAGCTTAGGCATTAAGCCATCAGTTGCTACAGTAACAGCAATTATTCACTGCTCTGGGACATAGGGTAAACCTGACACATTGATTGCCACCCCCTCCTCTCACCCCCACCCCCTAAATTTTTTTAYTTAATGATTTACCTTCAAGATGATGATCGGATGATTCACAATTCAGATGAAAATAAGGGCGAGTGAAATCCCAATATTGAACAGTTTATTCAAAAACTCCTTTAGCCTGGAAATTATCCACAAGGTAACATTTTTCCATGTGCTTCATTAATTTGAATTGCTTCGCAAACTTTTGTCAACCCCCACAGTTCTCACCAAGTATTCACCAGAGCTTTTGTTTCCAGCATGACTATTCATAATGTCTTATTCATCTGTGACCTCAGTAACATGTTATGGTTGTTTTTCTCCCTAACTGGATGACTTGAAAACCCACAAAGAAGAAGGGTGCAGGAACACTTCCACTGAAAATACTCACGCATGTCAGAGCATGTCATTGCAGAAGTGCAGCTAGGTGGATGTTTATGGCTTGTCCCTATTTCACAAACACTATAGTAAACAAAATGGCWAAGCCAAATGCAAAGACCAGCAAGTGCAGTCCCGGGTTGTTATTAAAATATACATTCCCAGAGCTCTTTGAATGACTTCAAAGTTCCCTTGAGAAAGACATGGAGAAACTCATCATTGCTTCACTAACGTGCAGGACCTGTACAGTACAGTKTTGGTGTGCTCTTCTTATGTCCTTGAGAGAAAAAGGGATGTAGCTGGGAGACCTTCAGCTGGATGTATTTCCCCAGGAAATACTTGCAGCTTCTAAAGGAATGCGTCAGCCATAGGAGCTACAATGTCCCAGTGGGTGCCAAGAGGCACTGGCACTGCCAGTGGCAATGCTGCACAGTGCTTCCTACTCTGCCTTTGGAAGTCTTCTGMGAGGATTTTGGTGGTGAATGAGAACTTGGTCTAGACGTTGAGCTCTTTTTGGTAAACAAACAGAATGTTTGCTATAGTATCTRTGAAGGAAAAGAAGGAAAAAGAAGAGCAAAAAAAAAGAGCCTCCTAACACCCAACACCCAAATCTAAATGCAGGGGCCAAAGTCAGATGATGTGTGCCATCAGCTTCAAGGACACCAGCAATCGATACCACAGCTCCRTGCCAGGAGCACTGCCCATCTGAGCTGCATAGCTGGAAGCTTTCTGGAAAACACATTCTTCTTTTGTTGCTTCAGCTCTGAATCACAGCCATTCCTTGGTAAACTTTTGGAGACAGAGTCCTCTCCTTCCCCAGCGAGTCCTGCTTCACTCTGCTCCAGCACTGGCTTTTGTAGCCTGCTAATTTTGGAGTTGAGGTAGAACTAAGATGCTGGGTTAAACTGCTGCTCTCTTTGTCAGTGYAAGACTATCTGCATTATATTGTGAGTCTATGAAACATCAAGAACAGTGTCTCCCAGTAACTTTTAGCCCATTAATAATCACTAAGAGCCCAAACTGCTCCAGCCCAGCTTTGGAGTTATTCTTCCACTGTCCCCATTTGGCTGGTGCAGGGARGAAGCAGGATCTCTAGACCTGTCCCAGATCTTAACATTGCCTTTCCTTCTGCCTGCCCATGCCTGAAATTGGTAATGAGCTATTCATTCCTTTGCTCTCAATACAAAGCATTGTCTTAGCTTGCTGTCACTTTGAGTGCTAGCTTATCGCTCTCCACCTGCAATTAAAATGTCTAAGGAAGGGCAGCACAGTCTTAAACTGCATCTTGAGATAAAAACACATTTTGTTGGATTAAGTCTTCTTCACACGCTGTACCATTTGCATTCTTGCATCACAAACAAGTATTTCCTGCAGTCCTATTGTCCCATCTTCATCAGAATTATGACTCTAAATCAGTTTTCACACCAACCACTCAATACTCAATTTGTCCTCTGGCAAAAATCATTCCCAGAGACACGTGAATCAAGCAGTTCAGAATAGGAAAAGAGAAATACATTTGGACACAAATACTCYGAAGTCTTTTTTCTCTTGGGTAGTAAATCAGATGAGAGCATAAATTCTTCTAATAATTTTCCTTCTGCTATAAATGCATCCTACTATTAAGGTAGCTGGAGAGAGAAGATGAGAACACTCCTATGAATTGTTTCTGAAATGAAGAAAACCGAAACAGAGTTCCCAGACCACACTAAGACACAGATCTTGGAGCAACAACATTTACTGTCATTAATCCTTGAAATATTTGGCACAAACACTATATCACTAATCATAACTGYGGGAATATATCTTTGCTCTTTTTAGCTTAAGAGTGGATCTGTCCTTGAAGGTTAGAACATCCAAGCATTTGAAAATGTGGGACATACAAACCTCACAACAGATGACATGATCCAATGCATCACCAAGACATCAAGGAAAATTAAGCTCAGGATGAGTCTCAAGGTCTGTGCAATTACTCACCATTCCTGCACATAGGCAGTCTGTGAAGAAGCTGTTTCTAGGACTCTGCTGCTTGACAGTGAGWAAAGTATAATGCTTTTTGCTATTAAAATGAAATATTCACAATTATACATATATAAGGCAAACAGGTAATGAAAAAACACTCAAAGAAAAAAGGCAAATTAAAGTGATTCACAGCTGAATTATTTGTTTTTCCACTAAACAGTGTGATAAAAAAGGAAAGAAGTAGAATGTAATTTTAGTTCCACTTTAAGCAAAAGTCCTAACTGTTCTTAAGATAGCTCTTGATCTGTGGACGTAAGGACCTGTGTGAATTAGCAACATCCAACAGGACAGAATAGGACCCAGCAGTTACAACTTTTATGTTTGTTATAGTCATCTGTTCTCATGCAGGTTTTCTTTACTCATTTTAATTCTCTTTTCAATCCTCTGTTGYTACAGAGTCCCTAAAATCATTATGGAATTGCAAGCTAAAGCCGAGRCACATCCATTCAGCAGTGACTCGCTGTGCAGCCTGGGCAAGTGTTCCTTAGTTCAGGAAGAGGTGAATGGGGCAGTGATGGTTCTCAGCCTCATAAAACACTTCAAGAACTTACTGTAAAGGAAGTATTTCTGCCACTACAATCTCTTYCCTGCCTCCTTCCTAGCCCAGTAACACAGTAAGAACAAAGGACTAAAGTCCTGCAGAAAAGAAACTCTTCCTGCTCACCATCTGTTTGTATCAGATATTGGAACCTCTGCCCATCCCTTCCTGACACATCTGGTAAGTGTATCTCCTCCACAAAACCAATAATGCACCTTCTCGGGGAACTGGGAGGTAAGGTGGGGACTGACAGCAGGCTAAATATACTGAGCAGGAGAAAGAAATTAAGGGAAAATCTTRCACAAAAATATATGCTCAGTTATTTCAGGAGTTTTCTTAATAGCTGTTCCATGAAAAAGGCAGAGTTGAGGGCTAGGGAGGGCAGTAAGAAGGCTGAGGGATGGGGCTGCAGCTGACTCTGCTGTGCCCACAAAGCACCCAGGGGCTGGGAGACTATCAGGTGCCAGGAGCATTACTTGTGGCATTACTTTCCTGTGCAGTGTCACTCCATACATCTAAAATGGCAGAGAAAACGTTGTGGGACATTGTGTTAACTTTYTATACTTTTAGGAGAGATAAAGATGCTTTRMAACATCCTTTCCTRGTCCTAGATAAAAGTGGAAGTTACAAGAGCACTTTGGTGATCTGCTCTGGGTGAGCCAAGGCACTTTGACCTGCACCTGACCGGTGCAAGATCAAACTCTCYGTCGGGAGCACTGTCAAGGAAAGAGCAGCAAGTGCTCTGGAAAACCCAGGATGCAGACACTGTAAAATCAGTGTTGTTTCCTTCTTGACTCAGCCTTTGTTTTTAATTTGGTATTGCCATCCACTTGTTTACACTGATACAGACTGAGTCTGGAGAAACCAGATTTCCAAAGAGCTAGCACATTCCATCACAGGTCACAATCCCACGCTTGATTGATACATCATAACCTCTAACAGTCATGCTGCTGCGTGGAATTGCACCCATTTCTTGGTTTGCTTGTCTCAGACAGTGCCACCAAGGTGAATATGAATGGTGGTAACAAAGTTCTGATGCAATGTGATTGGACTCAGCTGCAATATCACTGTTTCATAATGCAGAAGGTTTTGAAGAGCCAAACTGACCCCAGACATCCTGGGAAGCACAGCTGCAGGTCAGGGCTGGGAAAGTGGTGCTGGCCAGAGGCAGCCACCCAAAGCAATGCATCCATGGACACAGGGTGGGGAGAGATAGACAGATGCAGAGGGTCTGATATGGACAGGTATTACTCGATAGGAAGAACAACCTCAGGACAAGGGAAGGAGCACCATCTGGTGGAAAAGAGATCAAAATTAAAAGCAGTGATTCTCCTGATCTTTTCTTCATCATCACCTGGCAAAGAACAAAGTAATTACTATTGCCTCTAGCTCACTTTGCACGATTCTGGGAACCCCTGATTTTACTCTTCATGGAAGATCAGATCTGTCTCAATGTATGTAATCTGTACAGCTCCGTGACATAAAAACGGGTCTGTGAGTTTGGGGAAGCTTGAAGTTTTAGGATGGTTCTGATGTGAGTTCTTAAGCAGAATCAGATCCAGGTATGACACGGTTYAAAAAAAAATGTGCCCTCTTTTTTTCTCATTTGACCATTTCCATTGAACCTGTGGTATCCTTGGGACTCCTACTCATGTGTCAAATAGTCAAAATGATCAATAGCTGAAAAAGATCCAAGGAAAGGCAGACAGGGGAGATGCACACGAACTCAGACACGCACAAGCTTTCTTAGGAAACAAGACTGCAAAGAGAAGTCAAATGTGAGCCATTAGYTCATCTGGTTGTTTTGCAATGACTGGATCTCTAGTGATTGCAGGGTAYTTCTTGCAAGAATATTCAACATAGCAGCAGCAGGATATCAAGGAGCTATTTGGTACACAATTCAGAAGAACTARGTGCAACATTCATTAGAATTAAGGGAATGAGTTAGAATTCAGGTCAGTTCCAATGATTCTGAAATTTGGAAAAGAGAAAACATCTAGCAGTAGTTTTAGAGTTTAGTATTGAGCAAACACCATTTAAAGTTTCTACAATAGAGAAGATACAAGAGTTGTCTGAAAAGAAACTTCAAAACAGCAGCTTTGCAAATTACATTAGAAGCAGACTGAACCAAGTCTCTTAAATTGTTTCCTCAGCTGGGTTCAGTTTCCTTTCCTCACTTTGATTTTAACAGCATTTAGCTGTCTTGTACTCTGTCCAGCCATTTGTTTACTCCCCGTTGGTGGGAAAAGTGAGAGAACTCAACGATTGCAATAAACACATTTAATAGGTAAAGCAAAAGCTGCACACGCAAGCAAAATAAAACAAGGAATTCATTCACCACTTCCCCTCCGCAGGCAGGTGCTTGGCCATTCCCAAGAAAGCAGGGCTGTGTAACAGCTGCTTGGGAAGACAAACACAATAATTCTGAACACACCCCCCTCCTTCATCTTCCCCCAGGTTAATGTACTGAACACGATGTCGTCTGATATGGAACCTGAGCAAAGGTGGGGTCGGCTGTCCCAGCTGTGTCTTCTCCTTGTGCACCCCCAGACCACACATAGGTGGGCTGAGGAGGGGTGAGGAGTAGAAAAGCCCTTGGCCCTGAGTGTGTAAGCACTGCTCAGCAATAARGAAAACATCCCTGTKTTGTCAMMACTGTTTCCAGCACAAATCCAAACAYAGCCCCATGCCAGCTACTCTGRAGAAAATTAACTCCATCCCAGCCAAAACCAGCACAGTGCTCTTCAGGTGGAATGGAATATTACACAGATAATATGCAGTCAAATACGGAGTTATRAAGTTTGTCTTTGATGAAAGGACTGACAGTTCTACACCTTATTGGATTGGCTCATAAATATTAATGATACCCAACACTGCATATACAATATCAAATCTATTTGTAGTTGCACTCACCAAAATGGTACTGACAAATAAATACATGTTTCTCCAAGCTGCCTGTATCTCACCATCCTACCTTYGCTGTTTACCATGCTGGGAACCACTTACACAATACTAACAATTGCACAAGGAAGCAAGCACTTTTGTGTTTTCACAGTTCTAACAACAGGCATCTACAGTCTTTTAAAATCCACCCTCTAATTCAATTTAGGGATTTTTCTTTTGCAYTTGTGTATTCCTTCACTAAAAAAAAACACAATACCTCTGGTTTTTGGGGGTTTTGATTTGTTTGGGTTTTTTTAAACTGGCAAATCACAGTTGAATGGATGAAGTATTCTCTTACCTTGGTCATCTTTTGCTCTAAGAAAATCTTCACCCATCTTGCTATTACCACATAGCTTCACATATTTGAGCCGGATAGAATCCATCACTATCTGTTTTGACCAAGAATATAATTTCACATAACATTCTTTTGATTTTTATATATTTTCACAAAATATTTCAAATTTTGACAAAAGGGAATTTCCTGGTTGGAAAAAAAAAAATGCTGCCCTGGCAGATTCCTCACCAGCACTGCATTCAAGGACTTAAAAAAAATTGAATGAGTATCCAAAAAAAGATTTCTCAACCTCTTCCTAGGAACTCGGATCTTGCGTCTGAACAAGGAGTCATAAAGAGGGTGGTGAAGCCGTGAGCTGCACCCCTCCCTGACAGCCCTGACCTGCTTGGGAAGGCAGGACACTTGGCCCCTGCACTTCCCGTGTCGCTTGCACTACATCTGCCAAGCAGTAACTGCATATTCCAAAGAGAAATTTCCAGAGGTAACAGTGAAATCAGACCTGGAGCCAGTGCTAAGAGAAGCAAGAATTTGACCCACTTGTTGAATCTATTTGGTCATTGAAGCCTGCTCCTTGTTTCAGCCTGGRACTCATGCCTGCCTGACTGCGTTTAATGTAGCAATATTGCTCTTTTGCAAATAGTGTAGATTCAAGACATGCATGTGTCCTCCCAGAGACATTCTCACCTTTTTTTTTTTTTAATGGAAATAGCATTTAAACAAAGACCTACCTTTTACCACCCTGCAGTAAAACAAATAGGCTTCATAACTWCTAGATAAGTACATTTTAGTTTAAAACTTCAGGCTTTGAGATTTGTATATAATGACGTTATGATTTCAGTGAGTACAGACTACTTGCTAATTTTGTTCTWAGTTGAAAATTCTCTACCTGCATTTAGTTTTCTCAGTGCCACAAGATATGTAATTCTTTGCTTGACCRCTTGACCACACTTACTCTTCTGTTTGTTGTTTGGGGTTTTTTTTTTTCCCCTAATGAGCTAATAAGAGAGATGGTTGCAAAATGAGTCTATAGGTTTCATGTAAAACTACTGCAGAGAGTAAATTGATGCCATCTGTAGCTAAGTGATTAATATTGATGACAAGTTTCAGATCAGTGTTCCATTTTGTGAAGTAGTTACATATCATGGCAGATAGATAGATAGATAGATAGACAGACAGACAGACAGACAGACAGACAGACAGACAGACAGATAGATAGATAGATAGATAGATAGATAGATAGATAGATAGATAGATAGATAGATAGATTGTGGACAGAATATTAATGGAAGGGTATTCAAGCCCATGGAGCTCTAGAACACTTAGCAACATCCTGAATGAACAGAAAGGAGCCTTTTCCATTGATAATTCTCATCCATATTTTATTCTTATTCTACAGATGATTCTAAACAGGACTTTTGAGCAAATTGAAGTATCCAAACTTGCATTCTGTTGAGATTTACAAACACATTCTCCTCTGAAAATTATAGGTTATGGATGGCTACTGCATTCATCTCAAGAAAAGTATTGCAATGACAGAGAAACCACTTAGATGACACCTACCTGTCTATACTTAATAATGCATGTATCTTAAAGGAGTTGATTTCTCTTAATGGCAATGACACTCTAAAATGTGCCTCATCATGTGTCTAGGTGAGGGAGGACTGCAGCCAGACTAGGCATTGAAGGCTTTTTCTTGGCACAATTTACAAAGAAAGGGATTGTTCTTATTTGAAAACTGAAATGCCTATTAGAAGTCCATTAACTGCTAGAGATTCCTTCCTAAAGGTAATGTTCACAGCTTTACAGGAAAAAATAAAAGATGGCACAAATAAAAATATTTACTAGGGAGTAAAAACTGAAGCAAGAAGGATGAGTGGTCCTTGCGGCTGTAAAGATTACAGTGTTGAAYATTGCAGAAGCACTGTCTGGTAACAACTGTATC